AGGCAAGCACGGCTGCATGTTTAAAGACTGCAAAGGTGAAGATCAACACCTTTACTTCGGCTTAGCACCTGGGCCGCGGAGAACATCGCACGACTCTGTCCTGGTCGGTATTCATATAGATTTATATTTATATGTCTTCCCTGGAGGAAAAAAAACTTTTCGGCGGAGACCATGTCTTGTTCCTCACCTCTCTTTTTGATTGCACACCTGCCATCTACCCTGAAGTTCACTGTAATCTCGGGGAACGTCCCAAAGCAGCCAGCGGAATCTTCGGACACCCCCCATCCACGGCGGCAGAACCCAGCAGACATTCACATGGGCAGGTCCGTGCAGGTCCGTTTGATCACAGCCTGAGGGACATCTGAGAATTGAGTGCGTACATCATACATCATCATACTACTCAGCCCCTGGAAGGCGAAGCGATACACTCAGCAACCTCCTTGACCTATCAAACATGGATAGACCAATGTGAGGACCACTGAACCTATAAGACATCCCCATAACCTGCACACGGATTTGACCTGAAACCTCGGATGGTACCCACCGGCTAGAGCGGGAGAGCGTGCCTCTGTCGCTGAGGATTTGGCTTCAGCCAATGGCTTTTACCCAAGTCGATTTACTATGTTCATGCCCAAGGTCCGTTGGCACCTTGGAGGGAACGTGCTCCTGAGTGGGTTGATCCTCTATGCGGAACGTGATTTGGTGGATACGAGTGTTCTTGGATGGCCGTGACGGCTGTGGATGGCCGTGGAGACCTCAAATAGCATGGGGGTTCGACTACATGGAGGCTTGTCAGTTGTTTTTTGTTGTTTTCCGACCTGGACTTACTAGGCAAGTATACAGTTGGATTCAATCACAGTTCATTTCTCCATAGTGTGTGGAATAGAGGTGAATATGCTTCAGCATGCTTCACCCCTCAGCTTGTTGTGCACCAGAAGATTCTGCCCTAGATATACCCCAAACACTCCATGCGACTGGAATTGTTGCCCAACTTTCGGATGGTTTTAAGATGTTGATAAAGAGTAGGCATGATCGGTATATGGCCATGCAGGGTTCCTCTATCAAATGGGGCAGAAAACGTTTTATGCATCCCTCAAGACGGAGGGGTTAGGTCTTGATTTTGTACTAGAAAACAAGAAGGTGTTCGGTTTTCGGAGATGTGTTGTCACTGTTGGTAAGCAATCAGAGAGCGTTTATGAATGTATCAATCAAAACAAGAAACACATCAGATATTTGCTTTCACAAACTTTCGTACGGGCCGCCATTATATATATATATATATACTGTATATATATACATACATATAAGTGCCAGGGTAGATCCCTATAAAACGCCTGGCAAGTCCCCCTGCAGGAACACATCGGCATCGTGTATATATATATATATATGAGCGACGGACAAAATTATTGGCTGACTTATTTAGTCACGGCATGACCCTAAACCTATGTTGAGGGCTTTGTTTCTGTGGAAAACGATATGGTCCCCACCAAAAACGATAATCTTGTTAAGATGTAGTGGGTACAAAGATGTTTGTGGTTACCAGATGCGATTGCATTTGCAAGTTTATTTGAGCATATTTGAGCTAAACCGATGGGCACCTCTTTTCATCAATGATAATCCCAGACAACTTCCCAAACGATAGTCCAAACGATAAGCGAACGATAACCTAAATGTCACGCCAGGCACTCCGTAGACCTACTTCTCCACATTACTAGTGTTGGTCCGAGTGCATAAATCAAGTGCTGTGCCATTCCTGTGCAGAAAGCACTGTAAGCCTCTAATCTGAGGTTGTGAGTCATATTTTTTGTTTTAGCCTATGTGCTGGTATGCTATGCTAACTACGGTTTGGAGAAACATTGGAGAACGATATGGACCCCACCAAAAAAACGATAATCATGTCAAATGGTATTGCGCTACACAAGTAATTTTGTCCGCTGCTCATATGTGTAATATATGATATGCCATACATGCAGTTGTAGTCTTTGGGTGTTGTTTGAATGAGTCCGTCACCGGCCCTGCTGTGTACGCATCACTCCTGCGTCCACCACAGGAGTGTCTGGGGAAAGAAAGACGTGTGACATTGGTGAATTCAGACGGAAGGGGGCCACCACCAGGACCTTCCAACTCACAGGGCTTTGATGTGTTGTTGGTGTTTGTGTTCCGGAATGTCGATGTCCTTTTAATAGACATTGTGCCCTTTGAGCTTCAGAATTGCACCTGTTGATGTTGATGATCTTCCAGCAGCGTCCTAGGGGTCACTATATAATGGACAACCCTGCACCACTTACTATGCATATATATATATAATATACAGTATGTATATCCATTGGACACCCCTTCTTGGAAGCGCTGTGTTCACACAGGTATGCCTCAGAGCATATGGCTGACCCTGCTGACTACTTGGGGACGAAGATGATGGAGGACTGCATCGAGTATATGACCACGGCGCCCAAAGAGGCGGAGGAACCAAAGCTGAAGAGACCCAAGACCGAGGCCAAGGCCGGGGAGTGATGCCCGATGCGACACCAAGTATATCGAGGTCCTAATTAGGAATCAAAAAGGAAGCAAATAGTCAACATAATATGCCGTCGTTTGGCCTCCAATTTTTTTGGGTCGTACAAAAGGATCTATATATATATATATATATTTGTTGATTGTGTTGTGCTGTCCGTTATCTTGGGGTTGCTTGATTCTCGTTTTTTGGGTGGTGCTTCGTGTGAGTGTGTACCGGCAGGGACATCCAAGTTGGCTCAACCTCCACACACTTGGATGTTCCAACGCCTTGGAAGAGACCCACATGGAGCCTGAAAACCGGAAGACCACCATTTTTGGGGTGGAGGAAGCCATAGAAATCCTTGCAGGTCTCCAGTTTCCATGTAGGTCGACCGTTCGTTCCTGGCTGTCGACCCGATGGATGCGTGTCCGCGTGTCGTGTCGGTCGAGATGGGACGTCCTGGAACGGGTGGTTCGGTACAGAGCCATGTTGGGGCGCAAAGAGGAGAGAACATGAATACATATGGAAGAACAGGATAAGAAAAGGGCACAAGCAGCAGACCTGGGCCGGACCTTGATCCTTTTTGCTTTGGAACAAGTGGGCCGGAGTTGAGAATGCTAGCCTTCTCACGGTTTTGGAGCATGTTGTACGTGTCGCGGGCTCAGCCTTTAGGTGCCTTCACTGGTTCATCTATTTTTGTTGTATCGTTATATGGGGATGGGTGAACACCTGGAGCCTGGTCCACCTTATAGCGAAAGACCTTCCAGGTAGGTCAAACAAGGTATCCTGAGATTGACCCACAGCCATATGAGTTTGACCCACAGCCATAATATATGAGTGTTTTTCCATTTGGGATCCCCCTTGAGTTTCTGCCTTGAAATTCGGGGGTCTCTCCATTTTGATGCTTTCTCCGGTCATTCTCCTTGATCCAGCTGCGCTGCGCAATGGTCCCAATGAGATCATGCAGTCCATGTCCACGAAAGACTCGGACGAGTCTTCCCCACTCTCAGGTTCAGTCTGAGAAGCCGACGGAGGGTTTCTCGGGGGGGTCCACCCGCGAACTGTCGCGTTCGCGCCGGCTCGTGCCCCCCCCCGTCGGCATCGGATCTGGTGCCCGGAAGCGGCATCCGTGTGCCCCCGTTTCGGCAGGGTGACAGTAACCCAGCAAAAAGTATCTGATGTTTTATTGTTCACATGGTGTGACACTAGAATCTCTTGGGATCTGTGAATGTGCTCAAGTTTTGATGTCTCAACAGCTGAAGAGCTGATTGGGGGGGTGCAGTCTTCGGGGGCTTAGAACAAGCGTGACACACCCAAGAATTTTGGCAGTTCTGAAAGATCTGACAGAAGTACAAGGAGTCCACTGCTGGACGCTAAAGCAATGCCAGGTCATATTTGTGAGAGTATTGGTGTATCACATGTCAAGAGTTGCACAATAGTCTTTTGATGTCGTTTGATGATATACGATACATGTTGTTTATATATGCATATCTTTGCTATTTTCCAGACTTGGTGAACCAAACAACCCACTGAAGCCGGTGAACTCTTGTCCCAGCTTCGGCCATCATTTTTTGTTGCCCACCGCCACTCGAGGGAAGTTCAGACCTGTTGGAGATGGAGGGCGATCCACCTGAGGATGAGGAGGACAAAACCAGCGAAGATGAGATGGAGGCGCTGGCCACGTCGCTTTGCGATCCGACCTCCCCTCCTGTCGGCGACCCGAAGAAGCAAGGGACCGAAGAACCTGGGCTTTGTGGCCATGGTCTCCCTTTCTTTGTTCCATGTGTTTGTTCCAAAGAACCCGGATAATTTGCACGACCTTTGCCCCTTGATCATCAGGAACAGGGTGGAGTATGGTTCCATCATTGGCCCAGCGTGGAGTATCGCTGTTTCCTGGCCCACCCTTGTTTTCAGGGTGTTTGAAGGCTAGGGCTTGCCAAACAACCATTCCCTACAAGTCCATAAGACCCAGTAAAACCTGGTCTTTTACATCCTTAAGTAGTGATAGTGCTTTTATGTGACCACGTTCAGTCAAATTAGGTCATTGACTCATAGTATAGGGATTGTTTTACATTCTTGGAGTTGTGCAACATCGGCCAGGCCTGGCTTTGTTCCTTGGACACGGAAGACTCCCGGCAATCGGCCAAGCTCTTGCGGGGCCGCACCAGCTGCGTGGACGTCACGGAGGCCGCCGACGTCGCCTCAGGGTTGACGTGTGGCTGTTTGCACCATTGGGCTGTAATATCTGAGTCTACATTATGTCTGTTGGTTGAGTCGGTTGAGTCCTTTTCTGCCATTTGTTCTGCTTGGTAAAGACATGTAAAGAAGGAGAAGAGGTAAGAAGTGTTGGGCAAGAAGGAGAACACGGGTGCAAGCAGAACACGGTGCAGTTTGATCCCAATGTCCATGGAAATTCATGGAACTTCTGATACCGTACTCTGTTCCTTAGCGGAGGGAACTAAGCTGAAGTTGGCGGCAAGACTCTCCCTGGCAAGATCCTGAGGAGATGTGGCCCAGCGTGGAGCATTTGCAAGGCTTTTGCTCCGTAGTGCTTTGCACCTCTTTGCTCACGCAGGTGGCGTGGCTGCTCGGGCACACGCGGTGTGCCCCACGTGAGAAAAAAAAGGGGTTGAAAGCCATTTCAACGAGAACAGGAACACTTTGGGAGGACTACGTGTAGGGTGTATCTCATTAGCAGTAACAGTCGGCAACAGAAACCTTTCGAGAAAGGCCTTTACTAACCATCCACTCTTGCTGGCAATGGGATATACCCAGACATACCCAGACTATGTGGTTATTATATTGCGTTATTCTGCGTTATTAGCTATTATACTTGAATCCATTGGGGTGTGGTCGGTGGCACCATACCCAATGGCTATAGATCCCTACCCAATGGCTCACCAACCTGACAGGAGAGGTTTCTCGAGCAAAACGCTGGGAGGAAGGTCAACCTTCTTTGTGGAACCCAAAGAGGTCAACCCGAATGGGGTCAGTGAATGAGCTCTCAGACTTGATCGAAGGGCAGGACCTGTGTTCCAGGTCACCTCAATTCCATCGAATCCAATGCTTTCCATGTGCCAGCGACCTACATGCGCGCAGCACAATGATGATGTTCAGCAAAACCGTTTACTGGCACAGAACAAAGGAAACCAAGAGTGGATTCAACCATTTGATGTATGTTCTTCCATTGTGTTCAAGGCTCGCAGACTTTGCCGCACACAGAGAATCATACTCATACACGCGTACACACATCAACTATAGAGATCCAGCAGTCTAAACATAGTAGATGCGTATGTTAAGAGTTCTAGAACAATGAAAGAAGAGCTTCGAAGACAAGGAACATTTGTCCATGTGTTAAGAGTTCCTGATCATTTGATCGTTGTGTGAAGATCCGAATGCGTGTGCCAGCCTTCCCGCATGGCCAACATGACGAGGTGTATCATATCCGTTTTTTTCAGGTCAAACAGATCGGGTTGAAGAGTGGAGTCCAGATCGTCCACCGTGGGTCGGGTTGGGGTCACCTTCTGACAGATGGGAATAGGGATGGAATAGGGATGGAATAGGGATGGATGGGGACAGTAAGATTCACACACCATGGACCATGCTTCAACAAGCACCCGCGAGAAGGCTTGGCCCGCTGCAAGGTTTAAGACTCCTCTGTTGTAATTCCTGCTGTTGCATCCTGGCATGGTATCATTGAAAGAGGTGTGCTCATCCAACAGTTCAACAAGTTCATTTCAGAACCTTGTCGAAAAATCCGTGTTGGACGCCAATGGCGAATCGACGCTGCCCAGGTGGGATACCGAGAGCCCTTGATTTGGACGGACGTCTTGCAGGGTGCTGCACAGCTCTTGGAAGAGGGCGGCATTTTGTTGATGTACGACACCGAGACTTGGTGTTCATTCTTCATGTCAAGCACCACACTGCACCGTTCGGGAGCGCGGTCGATGCGACCCCCCCTTTGGGGTCCGGTCTGGCAGTTCGGGTCGATGCATGACCGACCCCCCCAAAGGGGCCTTCGGCTGTCCTTCTGAGCCGTGGACATGTTTTGGTACTGGTAATGAGTGGTTGCAACACGACTGGAACGTAGAACAGCTTGAGTAAGTTCAAACAGGGAGAGTGCGGCTACCAAAAAGGTACACTATAGATGCTCATATAGTCTCAATTTGTCTTATATATGGGATAGTATTACATTAAGTATTACAGGATGTACAACTGTAATGGCTAAGTACCAGATACTGTCACGTGGATTGTTGAGAAAAAAATAGGCCGGCCTCGCGGCCTCACGAAGGTTCTTCGTTGACCTCGCAGCCTGGGAAGAAGACTGATAGGTTCACGTAATATGGACCTGATGGGTTTACCAACTGGAGCAATCCAAAGCAAGAGTGGTGTGACGTTGTCATATGTTGTTAACATATTGCAAGCCAGTGCCTTTTGTTGGACTATGTAGAAGCAATGCAAATGACGGATCACTGCTTACAGCTGATTTGCAAATTGGTCGCTTGTGGTACATGCGCAATGAGGAGAAGTGGGGGGACTTTGCCAATGTTGAGAAGATGACACAGCAGATCAAGAAGGCCTTTCATGATCGATACCATTTGGTCTTTAGTCGATTGCTATCCATTGATACCTGTCGTGTTGGACATTACTGTGCGCCGGTCATGAAGTGAGAGGGAGTGTCAGCCGGCGCTCAGCAAATGTAGTAGTTACTTAGCAGTACGCAGGTTACGTCATAGTAGTCCTCGATCAATCATTTTTGCTCAAGCATCCCCCAGTCACATCGTGTCGCTGGAATCTCTGCTTTAATTGATCCAGTTGGCCAGTTCCCCCCCCCACTTGGCCAATCACGGAGATTCCCATTCATGTCTAGATATAAAGTGCTTCAGTTCCTCAGGTTACGGATGGAGACTTGTAAATTACATGATATACGACATGTTCTTTCCCGAAACCAAAACGCCCCCCCTTCTGGCATCTAGGGGGTACCCATTAGCCCTCAATTGAGGCCTACGCAAATTTGAGGCTTACGAGGTGTTGCAGCTCTGGTACTAGGTGCTTCCATCCTTAGGTTTTCAGCCTGGAGAAGCAGCTGTGACTTTGGGACATGATGTGACTGTGAATACTCAGCACGGCCCCCCCAGTGGTTTCACGCTTTGCTCGTTTGGGTGGATCCCATGAGGGTGTTCCTGATTGAGCAGAAAGCTCTATGTAAGCACCTCCCTGACACTTCATGTATGCTCAGTTTGACTCAAGTTGGGGTGGGCTTGGGGTATCTCAGTTGGGGTGGTTTCTATAGGATCAATGTTGGCGTATATTTATTCCAGTCTCATGGAGGTGGGAGTGTGTGAGCCTGCTCACGTGCCACATGTGTTTCTCATTCAACGCTGGTCTAGGTCCTCTGGCTGGTCACCTCCCGACACTCAAACCTCCCTGTTCAGTTTCGAGGTGTTTTGATGTGTCTTGATCCACTCAGGCCTCGCCTGGGCTGTAAGTTACATGTCGACGTCCACCTCGGCCTGCTTTTGGGGACCTCCTTCCCATCCTTTTGCTCTCGTGACGAGGGCGGGCTGTCCACTTAACCAAGGACCAGCCAAGAAGTGGTGCTCAAGAAGTCGTGTGTTAACCGTTAACCTCAGAAATCTTTACTATTTACGCACCGCACCATAGTCCTTGGAGGACAATCACCCAAGTTGCATATGTTCGAATCCAAGGATTTCTTGAGGTAGTTGGAACCTCCAAATCAGCCACACCCCAAAATATCCCCACCAATCACCTCACCTCAAGTAGTTCTTCCAATCAACCCCCAGCCCTAGATCTCAGAACTGACTTCCTTTGACACCCGAATCTCGCTCGCGATACAGCCCCCCTTTCACCTCTTGAAAGCCCTCCCCTTTCACCACCAACTCAAAAGTTTACAGTGGTTTCAGAATAGATGGCACAAGCCGAAAGATGTCTTTTGTATATCAGGTGCCTAAAAGTAGTCAACCACCAACCTTGGACATTTGCGCCATCAAACCTCTGAAACCACCCACTACCGCCTTCCCTCCCCACTACCGCTTGCTCGTCTCCAGGCGCAGCTGGACTTGGAGCTCCTCGAGCGCCAGGAGCCCGTGGACTTCTCCGACGACCCCGATGGGCGCATGTTCACCGTCGCCTTCCGCAAGACTGGGAGCTCCGTCGCTTGGAGGGATCGGTCCGGGGCCACAACACCTGGGCCGCCGGGGGGGGGTAGATGAACCGGTACCACGATGAGTGCGCAAAAGCCCCCCCCTTGATGACCCAAAAGCAGGCAAGATTCTGAAGTGGCAGATGTTCATTCAAGTAGAGGTTTTCCACTTGAGGCTAGTTTGGAGTATGTAGTTGGAGTATGTAGTGGAAATGGATCCTGCATAGTACATCTACCAACAGCCAAGAAGCCCGAGTAGCACTAGTCTGCCACCGGATCCATGTTTGCTTTCCATGTAAATTATTCCGGTCTGTAGGAGATGGACCCATTCCAAGTTGATTGGCTGCCTGATTCAAGTTGCCTTTCACTCAAAACAAACAGCTAAGTGGCAGCAAGTGGGTTTTCTTGGCACGCCTGGATGCCTGCAACATCTGGCACACCTGGATGCCTCGAACACGCCTGGCCTAGTCTTCTCACTGCTCCGTCTGCCTCCGAGGCGCGGAAGTCCTGCGAGTGGCTGGTGGAAAAAGCGGAGCAACTGAAACAAGCAGGCAACAGTGGCTTGGCCGACACAGTCCGGCAGCCGGCACTTTGTGAACACTGTGGTTTGCAGGATTATGGAGGATTCATTAATGCTCACATGTTTTCTTATTTGTGTGTGCAGGTTGTTTCTGAGGTTCTGTGGTTCTGTGCTGTCGCTAAGCTTTGGTGCTTGTGAATGTTCTCGCTTGTCTCATTCTTGCTAAGCTGCTAGGCCTTTTGTTGTTGGAATCTTCCTGCGAGTGGTGGCGGTTGTAGTGGTGGTTGCTCTTATGTTCGTTGCCATTGTCCACATCCGCTCAAACTTGTTGACGTTTTGCACTGAAGATGTTTCAACAACGTGTCCAATGGCCTGAGGATTTTGCCAAATTGTTTGTCCACCAAACGGAGTAGCTGCCTTTGCTTTTAGGTCTTTATGGATGTTTTGAGCTAAATCTTAGTTGCTGGATGCTGCTGGTCTCCCTTTCTCTTGTGGCCCGCTTCTTTTGTTTGCCAGCTGGCACCAGGTTCACACAGCCGAATCGCACCGGGCGCCCTGTGTACAGGTCCTTAATGGTCTTTACCGTTTTGGGTTCCTGAAGCCGTGTGGCTTGCTTGTTTAGGTACCGCTGGAAGAGAATGATCCTCCATTTGCATACGTGGGCCACATGGGCCACGTCACCCTGCGATGTGAAACGATCCAAAAGGGTGAAGCTGCGAGAGTCGAACAGGCATTTTGGGACGAAACGTAACGAACGACTTCGGACATCTCGGCCGCGGGTGCAGTGTGACAGCTGCAGGCTACTACTCCAACCTCGCAAAGTGCCGCGACGCCCGCGAGAAGCTGAGCTCGAGTCCACGAGTGGCTGCCCTTTGGAAGTCTGTGGCTTGTAACTTGGAGCGGAACATCCTGGACCTTTGTTGTGCCCTTGTGCAAGGGTGCTGAGACCAACGAGTTCCGACACAGATTGGTTTGGACATGTTTGGACAAAGTATTCAATTTTGTTGATACAATTTGTTTCCCTTCTACCAGGAGCTGGAGTCATGTTGTTGTGTGGTGTTATAAGTAGCTCTTTAATGTTCTTCAGATACGCGATACCACTTGGAACCACAACTGAACATGGACGCTTGACGAGTTCTTGAGGATTTACCGTGGCAGACGTGTGTCGTGCGGGTTCACACGAAACCGACACCGAACGGGGCAAGGAATGTCAAGACCATCTTTTGGGTCACAAAGGACTGCACCAAACATTCTGCATACTTGAAATCCTTGGCATAAATAAAGATTCGATCAAAAAACTACACCTCATCTTGGTGAGTTTAACAGGCATGTTCAGTTCCCTGCAGAGAATTGATCTCCATGCCGTCTGGGAGACGGCCCCTTTCTAGGAGGAAAACAGTAGGAGACATCACAAATGTTCACGGCGTCAAAGCAAGGTATTTGCAGCCAGTCTTTGAGAGTCTTTGAGTTGTTTCTTGAATTTGTGATCCTCTAATTACACAAAGCTGTTTATATTTGTTGCTCATCACCCCTCAGCGGTGCTTCCGATCGGTCCGACCCGCGGACCCGTGTTCTGGGTCCCCTGGTCGTGGCGTCGAGGTTATGTGCAAGGCCTCGACTGTTTGTCACTGGCACGGAGCCAAAGCGTGGAAGAGCGTTCTTCACAGATGAACCATATCTCCTCCAGGCGAACTGGGACGCGGGGAACTCGGCGTTGAGGGACGAAGAACCGGTGTTGAGGGACGAGCGTTGCGTCACCCGCCTTGGCTTGGGGGGCAGAGTGTAAAAATGGAGCGTTTGGGCCACAGACATGGAGACATGGAGCCTGAAATAGGTATATGATGGTATATGGTTTATGAATGTTTATGATGGTTTATGCCATTTATACATTAACATATGTCCTTTCCAGGGGGGTTCAAGTGTTTTTGCGTGTGTTTGTATGCCGTCTATGTTGGCATCAGGCGGTGCATGTGAGGGAATGTCACCTTCTGTTCCCGATCTCAAATCGAGAACGGTGAGAGAACACCTTATATATTTAGCACCAGACCCAACTCGTCCACATGCATGTCGTCTTGTGTGTTCGGTCGGATGTGTGATCCGGATCCAAAAAAGCAACTCACCCAAACCGAAACACCTAGAGGGGTGGATCTCTGTGGAAGCCGCTTTGGCTTTCCGATTGCTGCATTTTGCACAGAAAAGGAGTTACTGATGAATTTGCTAGAGGGTTTGGATGTTTATTTTTTTCTGGGGCATGATGGAGGCCTGTATCACTGTGTGTCATCAGTCATCTCTCGAAGCAAATGCAAGCATGTTTTGTTGCCAGATCCACGTAGGCCAGCAAGTGAGGGAGTTTGCGCATGTGGGCAACTGTAGCCTGGTGCTTGTAGTACTTTTCAACGTCATGTTTCTTCATCTTTGACGCAGTCTGCCAGACTGCCTGTACTCAGCCAGCTGATCGTTACTCCTCACCACTTTCACCCTGAAATCCACGACTTCCCCAGATGCAGAAACCCACTTTTGAGCCAACACGGTGACCGTGACCCGAAAAGGCTCTACTCGAACCTGGCTGCGGCCTACCTGGAACTGGGCGAGACTGCTGACACCTACGAGCATGCCTTGCGTGTGATTGACCTTGCCCTGGCGCCTCCGCTGTTCGTTGGGAACAGGCAACTCAGAGGTGGTAGACTTGGCCACCAAGGTGGACGGACACCGGTTGTATCCTATCCAGGACATCAATGTAGTAGGATTCTGTGCGCATGCGCATACTGCAGTGTCTAGAGTCTAGAAACACAGGTAGAGTTGTGGTTGTTCTGGCAGCCAAAGATTGAGTCGCTGCCAGGAATTGATGTCAGATGAAAGGACTCCAGCAAAGTCCCTGCATATCTGAAGGAAGTTCAAAAATTGGGGTGATTTGGGCTCGACAACCCAAGCTACTAGTAATGAGAAGCTACTATAGGTGGAGGCCATCGCTATTAGGTTGGAGGCCTTCGCTACTAGGTTGGAGGCCATCGCTACTAGGGTGGAGGCCATCGCTACTAGGGTGGAGGCCATCGCTATTAGTAGCTATAGAAGCTACTAGTAACAAGTTACAGTAGATGTTTTTTGTTGTTTCCATTTCAGACATTTTCAGACTCATGTTCACCATCCCTGGCTTGGCGATTGCGGCGCTTGCCATTGCCGGTCACCGCCTCGTTTGTGCCAATGAGGTCTGTGATCCTGACTGGGACCGGGCCAAGGAAAGGAAGGAGAAGATCCAGAAGGCCGGACATTCGAAAGAATAGTGATGAAACTGTGATGATCTTACTTTGGATCCTGCTAATTCGTGGTCACAACATGTCACAACAAAAAGAGCGTGGAACTATAGATCTTATATTATGATCTACTACTAGTGACTGGTGCCATATAAATATCATATAAATGTGTTTCCAATAGGATTCATGTGTGAATCCGTGCAAAGCCTTGCAAGGTCGTCCAGTAGGCAAACATCTGTAGGCCTTGCCACCGTCCGTCATCGACCCCTGTAGGCCTTGTCCATGCGACCCCACGACGCTGGAGCTTAGGTCGGACCTGATCGCTGTCAGACCACGAGACATGGTGTGAAAGAAGGTGAGGCCGTAAGATCCATCTTTGAGATGCTGAAACACATCGAAACACCAAGTGTTCTTTTTGTTTTTTTGGCAAACTCAATGAGTATTGGACGGCTCTCAGGATCTCAGTTAGGTCTTGCTCATGCTATGTGCTTCGACCTCCTTCTCAGCTGATCCTGGCTGGGCAGGTTCCGCGTGCCGCTTCCGGTTCCACGAGGTTTGATGTGTGAGAACGACGTGCCGCTTCCGCCCAGCTGGCGCTGAGCGATGAGCGAACTCGTTTGAGTTGTCCATGGCGCTGCGGTTATTTTGACACAAAACATATGTAACTATGCACTGACCAGTGACTGACCAGTTGCTTAGTGCTTCTCCAATCATGTGTTGCCGAGCTGGAGGTCCAAAGTGACAACTTTGTAAGGCTTAGTAGTTAGGATTAGGAGGAACACAGGAAGCCAACCAGAGCTACCTGCTGTCCTCATTTTAAGAAGTCGTTTGCTTTGAGTGTTCAAACTTGGAAAGTTTGCGCTGTTGTCCTGATTTCCTTCCATCCCTATTAGTGTGTGGTTCTGAATCTCTGATATGATATGTTTGCTTGTTTTCTGGACAAGTCAGAACTGTTTGTCAAAACTGATTTGCTTATTCAGTGATGAATAGACGCGAGGTCTAGTGATAGTTGGATGCTTAGATCCTCCTACTCTATCCCAACTCATACCAACACATCGGACCCGGAATTCTTCATGATCTGAGAAGTTATGTCGCACCTGTTTCGCCATGCTTCGCCCATCTTCTGGCGTCGCCCAGGCCTCAACGATTCAAGCTTTAGCCACCATGATTCAGAATGCGTGGCTTGGGGCCTGAACATGGCCCGCGCGCAGAGGTGGACGTACGGCCGCCGAAACGGGTTCGGGCCGACGCCAAAGCTGCCCGCCCTGGAACCGACCAACTATGCAGGTCTCGACAGTTGGGAGGCCCTTTCCGGTGGAACAAGCTTGACTCTTTCGGAGAGTTCGACAGCTTGGGCCGGGTATGTGGTATTGCCATGCACGGGCATCTGGTATTGTCATACTTGGGCACCTCCAAGTCCAAGTGGCACACCAGGAGTCCCCTCAACTTGGGCATTCTCAGTGAAACAGAATTGCAGAATTATACATGTTGCATGCAGCAACCACTTTTTACGTCCTGATTAGGAGAGTCGCTTGCACTGGGTAAGTCATCGTTCTTAATTGCAAGCCTGAGAGTCAAACAAAGTCAGTGGAACTTGGAGCGCGCTAAACAGTGACAGATAGCGACAGCATGTTTTTGTTGTTCAATTTCTTGACCTCAAGACATTCATGACCTCGCAAAAACAAGAGCATGCCACAGAGCCTGTTCTTTTCATGTGCATCTGTGAGTGACACGAGCATGCGTTCACACGTTTTCACTACGATTTCAGGGATGTTGTTGTTTTGTTTTGGGTTCACTCAACTACCTGGTTTTGTTTGAGGCACATGTTTTTTTTCCCGAACCGGGTGCATCTCCTTGCCTGGCTTCGGACAGCAAATCCCAGAGCTACTGAGTCTTGTTTGTAAGAGCCGTGCATCCGACGTCCCAGAGGTCGGGCGAAGGTCCGGAGAATGGGACAAAGCCGCGCGGAGCCACAAAGGCCGTGGAAGGATGGGAAAGTCGTGAGGGATTAGTTGAAGTTGAGAAGGGCAGAATCTGGGATTGGGGTTTTGAGACGGTATGAGGAGGGGAGGAGTTTTTGGTTGGGGTTGGCCACTGAATGTTGGAGAGAATCATATATAGAATGAATCAATTAGGGTGAAGGACTAAGGACTTAGAGACGCCTCAAAAGACCTCAACAGGTTTGGGCGGTGGCAGGTGCCTATCCTCGGGTTCGTGGATTAGGTGGTGCGTGGATTAGGCGTTCTCCTTTAAAAAAAGATCCCTTACACTCTGACGAACACATTACATGGAAGGGGATTGCATGGTCCCTTGCAAGACTACTTTCCTTTACGAACAGAGGTTTTTCCACTTCCATTTTAGTGAGTCGGAGTGTACATGCCACAAAGCTTGTTAGATCCTCCCAAAGGCCTGATGCCCAGGTCCTTACCATCCGTGGGCAGCGGCACAGCGCTGGCTGGAAAAGCCAGCCCAGCAGGCACCGGTGGATGTTGGAGGCAAACAAAGATGTAAACGAAGTCGAACCACAAGAAGGTCCATCATTGTTATAAATGGAGGCAGCCTTTTGTCTCCTGTTATGCTTGGGAGCTATATTGACCATTGACCACCCTTTCCTTTAGTAGCTGCCCCACCCAGCATGGATGCTCGCAGTCTTGTTGGGCTTTGGAGAGGCTCTGGTGCCGCGCCCGGGCCACTGCCTACGCCTGCAGGATGGCTGGGGAAGACACCTGTAGAATCCGACCCTATTTCACTACGGCTAGGCTAGTGTGTACTTTTTCAGAGAGCAGGTGCAACATGGTGCAAATGTCCCTTCTGATCCGTCATCATTGAAGATCTATATAGAAGGATTAGTAGAAGGATTCTTTCTGCGATGTTTTGGGTTTTTTTTCACGGCCTGACAACGCACCCATCCACTGCTGGAATAACCATGATAAACCCACACTCCTCGACATACCATGTGTTCCTTTGGGTCTTGAATCAAATTTCAACGCTGTGATCTCATGGACGTTCGAAGGAGTTATGCTGGAGAGTGTTCCCAAACAGAATATCCAGGCAGTGATCTCAAAACTGTGTGCCATGGGCCATGGTTTCCGATCCTTCTCAAGTGTACAAATACCGACACCGCAACAGAGTTGTTCCTGTGACAAAACAGTGCACTGCAGCTGTTTCCCTTTGCAAGGCTTTGAGCTACTTTTGTTATACTGTAGAATGCCCGGCCCTGTTTTTGGACTTTGCACGTAATGATGATGTTCAAAATATGTGGAGGAGAGCTGAGATTACTTTAACTTCAACAACCCCTCAGATTCTGTAGACTATAGCCACTGATTTAGGTCCTCTCATATCAACTATACTAGCGGACTGAAACTTAGAATGCCCATTTGGAAAAACGAGAAGGAAACAAAATGACTCCCCTAACCCCGTGAAAGCTCCAAAAGTTAACAAAAACCCTGTAAAATACAGTGAATCGTGCAGATAGAATGCCTGCCCCCCACTTCTTGCCCACCTATCAGATTTGCTGACAGGCGCGGTGTTTCGTAGAGTTAGAATGCCCCGCACCAGGTTCAACAAAAATTGTAAGGTTTGACACTATACTTGATTTCAATTCTCATGTTCGGCTAAGAAAAGAGGAAGAGCAGACTCTTGTGTATATATATAGTGTATTTGAATGTATTTGATATGTCCAAAAGAAGCGTGTATATATATAATCTATGGTTACAGAACAGGTCTTTGTTTTACATGTGCCAACAAAACCGCAGAAACCGGCCTCGGCCTTGGGACAAGAAGGGAAAAAGGAGCGAGCTGAGTGCCAGAGTTTGAACTCCGGACTGAAACTTAGAATGCCGGCTGTATACAGGAATGTGCAGGCATTCTAAATCCCAAATGGGACAGGCATTCTAAGTTATTCGCGAGTTTTGTTTGGAAAAATGGCCGGCATTCTAAGTTTCAGTCCGCTAGTATATTATCAAAATTTAACCAATGGCTGGAGATAAAGGACGCAAGACCCAAAGGAACATTGCAAGCGCTATACTACTACCAACTAGCAAACATATTAATTAAAATAGGTTCTCTTCCCCGATTTGAAGTAAGTCTTGGGTCTGACTGCTCCATTGCTCCCCTAGCAGGCGCGTCGGCCGTGCCTGCCGTGCCGGGTGTGCCTGCCACACCCTCAGCAGCGCCTGCGGCGTCAGCTGCGGGTGGTAGCTCAGCAGCGCTGTCGGTGAGGGAGAGTTTCGAAGCCACGGCTGGAAGCTTGCAGCGCTTGGTGGCCGAATGCAACACCAAGCAGGAGGCCTGGAGGGTGGGGGGCGCTGCATGCGAGAGAAGAACGCGACATGGAGAATGTGGGTGCGTAACCTTGGCAATGCAATTTCTAGATCAAGCAAGAAGAGAGTCTATGAAGAAGAAGAGTGTGTATCGATAGGTGCTGTTACATGGGTTTACCTGGTAGGATAATGCATGACGATGTGCTCATCCTTTCAAGCTGCAAGGCTGGAGCACACCGCCGAATTCGGAGCCTTTAGCGCCACATTCATTGTGGTTGAAAACTTGACGAAGGGGTGGACCCCCCCACCAAATCTTACCCTATGGTTCTATGCCACGGACCCTATGCTCCGGGTTCAACCCAGAACCAGCATGTGCATGGGCACTCCACCAGGCCACCAAGTCCTTGAACACGGTGGCCATGATCTTGACGAACTTCCTGAAAGATCCCAACTCGGAGCGAAACCGGAAGGTGAACACTTCTGGAGCTCGGTTTCTTGGAGCACGATCGCCGCGACTTCTTGAGCCGAGTTTTGTTCCGAAGTTGTGGGGTATATACGAAAACTAGTCACATGTAATATGAAATCACAGATATTCACATGGTTCTCAGTTCTTATTGTTTGTCTAGGAGGACCAAGCTTGGCACATATCCCAGGTTTAGCGAGATTTTTCGAAACAACAGCGCAGCTGGTGAGCTTCTTAAGCTGGCGGGCTTTCAGTATCAACATCCAAACTTTGTCTATGGGAATGAGAACGGGATCAATACCGATGGAGCTCAACGCACCCTGGACTTGGTCCAAGAAGCACAAAGGAACATTGACCAAACCTGGTCAAACCGTGCTGCTGCCAGCAGTTCTCCTGCCACACCTGCCACGGCAAGTGCTGCCACAGTGAACCCTGTCACACCAGCTGCGGCTTCTACCGCCGCTTCTGCCTCGAACCCTGAAGCTGCCCGACCCTGGGCCCGCACCCAGCCGCCTCCCGGTGCGCCTGCCGCGTGGGTGAGCATGACACGAGACATCAATGAGGATCCCCCCACCGCGCCGCTCGCCGCGGCGACTCCGGCACACCCGGCAGAGACGCTGCCGCCAGCGATCGCGCATCCGGCGGAGTCGGAAGCACGCCCGGCGGCGCCACAGGTGGCACCGCAGCCGCAGGTTCAGGCGCCACAGCCGAGCCAGCCTCAGATGCACCTGCCAATTGCACACCCAGCTGAGGCAGCCCCAGCTGGAAGCCCAGATCACAGATGGAAAGTTGAGAGATATTGTCAGAAGATCCAAGAAATTAGGCATCAGGTTTGGCAACAATTGCTGTATATATGCAGTTTGTTTTTTTTGCAGGATGTTGCAGCTTTCACAAAGCTGCTTTTGGTTTTTACTGCAGGCAGAGCCCAGGAAACTGTACTTGTATTGATTCATCATCGCAGCCCCTCAAGGACGTCACATTTATGCAGAGGATGAGGAGTAGCAGGACACCAATGACATGCTTTTCAATCAAGCTTCCTAAACAAGCTGCTTTCATAGTAGGACAAGAGATCCCCCCCACCGGGGCCCCCACCCACCAAATATAGACTCTATGATTGCAGCACATGCATGAGAGAGAATAGGATCCCGTCTATCAAAAAATCAACTCCGAATCAATTTGGACCCAATCTTACCCTTGCATACCCTTGCTGTGATGTGTTTCACCAACTCCATTCATCCCCAACCTCTAAACACCAATTCCGAAGAGTCTCCTGTTCAATGCTTCTAATGTTCTCTACCATCTTGGTTGTAGATCAGATCCATAAAGGATCATGAAGGCATGACACTTCAAAAGGACCAGGTATATCATATACAGACATACATGTACAATCATATACATCGATGTCATGAAATACGAAAGGTAGCTTCAGTGACCTGAACTTCCTTGCAAGCCAGTGCCCAAGCCTGAATCCTTGAGAAGCCATGAATCTTAATTAAGCTTTTGTAAGAAAGGATCATGAATCCCCCAACCATCTCAGGCGGTGGTTGGAGCCCTAGGGCATAGTCGACTAATGGAGTCTTTTTCCCTCGCCACATCCCACCCGCCTGTGCCCAGGTCGCTCCCGAGCAGCTCACCGCCGCACACCCTGCAGAGGGCCCCTTACCGGGTCCCGCGGAGGAGGAGGAGCCGCAGGAGCCACAGGAGCCGCAGAGTGGGGGCTGATGACTCAGCTGCGCATGAGGAAGTCAGCTGGGCGAGAGTCAGCTGCGCATGACGGAGCTGCGAAGTGAAGAAGCGCTGCAAAAAAGGGGGTGCATGTGGTGAAATTGATAAGAGGATCCGAGGTCAGCCTTTTCAGGGTGGATGGGCATGGGGGCTAGTTTTTGTTCAGAGATGGTGATCTGAATGAAGAGACTTTGGGGCGAAAGGTGCTCCTGAAGTGATAGCATCTCCAAGGTCCAAGGATGTCCAAGGTATACTCTGAACAAATGGGTGGGTGTTTGAATAGGAAGACCCCCTGGCCCAATGGATTTTGGCCTATGTTCCTTCTTCCAGGGGGTCTTGGAGGTCTCCCTATTTTAGGTTTGCCCTTACACATAGGGATTGGTTTTAGGCTGTTGAACGGAAGATTCCACATTATACATAATCTAAGGTCAAAACCTTTTAATCCAAGTCCGGTGGTGGTGGTGTCAAACATGATTTACAACAGCTGGACTCTATTGGTGTTCACGGGTGATGGGGTGTTGACCCAAACCCTCAATATCATTCAAAATCAAGTGTGGCTCCAAACTATCAGAACAGGGCTGAAGCATTGAGTTTGCATCTTGTCACATCCTGATGTCAGGTGCAAAGATCACAGGACATCCTTTTGGTGCCGACAGGTCGGCTAAGGTGGCCAAAAGCCAATGTCTGGGTGACCACAGGAGCCCGTCCCATGGTGAGATGCACCGTCCCTTCAGTCATTTCGGGTCGAACTATTCCACCCGGTACGATCTACAAAATCAGGCGGCTGGAGCGTGAAACTTCACGGTGCGCGTTTTTGTTGCGTGTCGCTCGACCGCCGGTGGGCGATCAGCGCTGTCTTGACAGGAGATGGTGGCCAAAACGTGTGGTTTTTGACATGGTGCCAGTGAGACAGAGACTTTGGTGGAGTCTTTCTCACATGCTGCATGGTGTTCTGGTTTGCTACTCGCAACAGCCCCGTTGGTCACTCGAGGGGGCCCAGATGGCCCCAGCAACCGCGGATGTCCGTTGAGTGTCCTTTTTGAGGCCTTGCATTTTGCCTCGCTATGGCAGCTTATCCTTCGATGTAGCTTGGAAGCGGTATCGAATCCTGGGAGTGGAAGTTCAGAAGATGTGATTTCTTCAAAAATCAGGAATGAGGAGTGTGGTTTTGTGAACAGGTGTTGAAGCTCCTGCAATCAGGGTCTTAGATTTATGCACATTCTATCAATCTCTACATATGTATAGTTATGTCATTCTGTCGTGGTATTTGTGATGGCGTAAGACATTGATGCTTTTTGCAGCCTAAGTAAGTTCAGACTGTGCTGGGCCACAGAGTCGTTTGCTTTTCGGATCCGTGCTTCGCCAAGGGCTGTTCCACAGCCGGGGAACTCAAGGTGTGTTGGAGAGGTGTACGGCGCCCAGAACACCAACAACGTAGTTCAGCATGCATAGATTGTGCTTGCTTGGTCGCTAGATTCCATGTCACTCCGCTTGTTCGTTTTCTTGCATAACCCATCACCCATCCACTACTCTTTGGGAGGTCATTATGAGCTGACCAAATACGAGTATATTGATGCAAAAGCTGAGCCACCAATCATGGGAGTCACTGGTAAACCTCCATGGACCTCCAAGTCGCTAACGTCCCTACAAGGACCTATAACAGTATCAGTCCCTACAAGGACCTATAACAGTATCAGCTGCTCGAGGCCGTTGATCAGCTGCTCGAGGCCCTTGAAGACATACTCCATGGATTCTCCATGGTCTGTCAAAGCGGTGTCCTTGACAGGGAAGGGCAAGTCGCACTCCCAGATGATTGGGGTCATCTCAATGCCAGTGCTGGAGTGTAGGAAGCCTTTCTGATGAACCCTAACCAGTCATGGGACTGGGAGCCTCCCTCGTCTCGGTCGGTTTGCAGGGTCCCTGACATCCCATTCGGACCGTCGCCCAGGGCGGGCTACGGCTACTATGACCCCTCTTATGCCACTTGGAGTCAGGGCAACATGGGGTGCCAGGAACTGTATCCGATGCAAGTCACGTGAACAGAGCTGCAAGTCAAAGTCATGTGGATCCAAACAACGTTTTGATATTGTTTTGATGTAATTCTTGCATGTCGAGAGAGGAATTTCCACTTTCGTTGAGGAGACCCAATACATTATACAATATTATAGATAGTACAGTACAACTTATTTGTAGTAACGATACAGTTCTTATATGAGTATTACAACTCTGTACCGATCTCAGCAACGGATCGCCATCCTTGCAGTGGCAGTCTGATAGTCATGTCAATTCAATCCAAGGGAAGGGCCACAGTGTTTGTGGAAGGCTGTCATTCAATCCTTGAAGCCTCTTGATCAGTCAAGGCTGGTCTCAAGGGCGGCAATGCAAAGGATGTGCGTTTCAAGTGCATATATATTTATATATGTGTGTGTGTGTCCACTCCTGTTTCCAAGGACACTACCCTAACTCTTTCT